CCTTCGGACCTTGGTTTTGTTGCTTTTAGTCTTACCGCTCTTCAAATGACCTGTCTGGCATGGTTGGACCTTGAGGAACAGTTGTTCCAGCTAGTATAGCTCAGTTGCTTCATCACGATAGGCAAGCCTGACCACCACGTCAAGGTAGCAACAACGATCAGGAAAGTGCGATCACGACAATGAACCTGACCAATTCTAGTTTCCGTCTAAAAAGTATCTCATTTGACTCTCTTTAGTAGAGCAATGTGAACACTATTCTTTGCAGGTATCATTACCAAGGTTTGATTTGATAATTTCGAATAAATTGAGCATTGGGTTGATTGCTATAAATAAATAATATATTTGTAATATCCCCATGAGTAGAAAATTAGATTTTCTGAGGTTTCGTGACTTAGTGTAAGTCGCTTCTTCGGAGATATTACAAATATATTATTTACTATTCTTTGCGATGGATTGGAGAATTTTAAATTTCTACATTGACTAGTAACTTGAAAAAATTATTTGTTTATCAGTCATCAGTTCGACGTATACTATACGCGCATTTCCATGGCAGATAAATTCTATGGAACAGATAACTCACTAGGGCATATGAACAAGAAAATCTGACAAATATGTGAAAACTGACATTATTTATTTATTTATTTTAACACATAGATATTGGTACAAGGAGGCACCAAATACATATGCGCCACACGAATCTCAATTGATTTGTGTGAGGGCTGTGATACTGCCCGGGTGCCCAAACCGAGGCAGGTGGTTTTCTTAGGGGGCCACACTCCGAGCCTTCGACCTGAACGTCTGACCCACAAGGCAGCGGAGCATCGTGAGGAGATGCAGTCCCATGGAAGCCGGTGACCAAAAGTTGGTTCATACGCCATTTGTTCCTTCAGGATACTGGAGCCCATGTGTACCATTGGTTTTTGGATCCGGTTAAAGCGCCGGACATTCGCTTTTCGTCCTCTCATTTTCGTAAACAACACCCCCACTACGAGAAGGCAGTGTGTAGGACTTCCCTGGCAGGGGGTATATACACGTGTCCATATGAGAGCATTTCGAGAGGGAGAGCGGACTCTCCCCACTCTCGGCCGTACCAGGGCATTTGGGGGCAAAAACTGACATAATTCAGAGTTAACACAAGCCCGATCTATATCCCCTACAATCCAGATAATTTTATGATAATTAATTATTTATTTAAGCAGATGAAGAAAGAAATCTATTTAAGTTCACAAGTAAAGTGGCATCTTTAGCAACATTTGATAATAACTGTAATGTCTTGAAACACATTAGTTTGACAAAATTATGTATATTTTGAGATAAATACTGATTGCCCCAAAATGCCGTGGTACGGCCAAGAGTGGGGAGAGTCTGCTCTCCCTCTCCAAATGCTCTCACATGGACACGCGTATATAGCCCCTGCCAGGGAAGTCATACTCACTGCCTTCTCGTAGTGGGGGTGTTGTTTACGAAAATGAGAGGACGAAAAGCGAATGTCCGGCGCTTTAACCGGATCCAAAAACCAATGGTACACATGGGCTCCAGTATCCTGAAGGAACAAATGGCGTATGAACCAACTTTTGGTCACCGGCTTCCATGGGACTGCATCTCCTCACGATGCTCCACTGCCTTGTGGGTCAGACGTTCAGGTCGAAGGCTCGGAGTGTGGCCCCCCAAGAAAACCACCTGCCTCGGTTTGGGCACCCGGGCAGTATCACAGCCCTCACACAAATCAATTGAGATTCGTGTGGCGCATATGTATTTGGTGCCTCCTTGTACCTATATCTATGTGTTAAAATAAATAAATAAATAAATAAATAATGAATACTGATTTCTGCTATTGATAAGGTTGTTTACTAAAACTGAGAAATTTATTTATTATTTATTTATTTTAACACATAAGTATAGGTACAGGGAGGCACCAAATACATATGCGCCACACAAATCTCAATTGATTTGTGTGAGGGCTGTGATACTGCCCGGGTGCCCAAACCGAAGCAGGTGGTTTTCTTAGGGGGACACACCCCGAGCCTTTGACCTGAACGTCTGACCCACAAGGCAGTGGAGCATCGTGAGGAGATGCAGTCCCATGGAAGCCGGTGACCAAAAGTTGGTTCATACGCCATTTGTTCCTTCAGGATACTGGAGCCCATGTGTACCATTGGTTTTTGGATCCGGTTAAAGCGCCGGACATTCGCTTTTCGTCCTCTCATTTTCGTAAACAACACCCCCACTACGAGAAGGCAGTGTGTAGGACTTCCCTGGCAGGGGGTATATACACGTGTCCATATGAGAGCATTTCGAGAGGGAGAGCGGACTCTCCCCACTCTCGGCCGTACCAGGGCATTTGGGGGCAAAAACTGACATAATTCAGAGTTAACACAAGCCCGATCTATATCCCCTACAATCCAGATAATTTTATGATAATTAATTATTTATTTAAGCAGATGAAGAAAGAAATCTATTTAAGTTCACAAGTAAAGTGGCATCTTTAGCAACATTTGATAATAACTGTAATGTCTTGAAACACATTAGTTTGACAAAATTATGTATATTTTGAGATAAATACTGATTGCCCCAAAATGCCGTGGTACGGCCAAGAGTGGGGAGAGTCTGCTCTCCCTCTCCAAATGCTCTCACATGGACACGCGTATATAGCCCCTGCCAGGGAAGTCATACTCACTGCCTTCTCGTAGTGGGGGTGTTGTTTACGAAAATGAGAGGACGAAAAGCGAATGTCCGGCGCTTTAACCGGATCCAAAAACCAATGGTACACATGGGCTCCAGTATCCTGAAGGAACAAATGGCGTATGAACCAACTTTTGGTCACCGGCTTCCATGGGACTGCATCTCCTCACGATGCTCCACTGCCTTGTGGGTCAGACGTTCAGGTCGAAGGCTCGGAGTGTGGCCCCCCAAGAAAACCACCTGCCTCGGTTTGGGCACCCGGGCAGTATCACAGCCCTCACACAAATCAATTGAGATTCGTGTGGCGCATATGTATTTGGTGCCTCCTTGTACCTATATCTATGTGTTAAAATAAATAAATAAATAAATAAATAATGAATACTGATTTCTGCTATTGATAAGGTTGTTTACTAAAACTGAGAAATTTATTTATTATTTATTTATTTTAACACATAAGTATAGGTACAGGGAGGCACCAAATACATATGCGCCACACAAATCTCAATTGATTTGTGTGAGGGCTGTGATACTGCCCGGGTGCCCAAACCGAAGCAGGTGGTTTTCTTAGGGGGACACACCCCGAGCCTTTGACCTGAACGTCTGACCCACAAGGCAGTGGAGCATCGTGAGGAGATGCAGTCCCATGGAAGCCGGTGACCAAAAGTTGGTTCATACGCCATTTGTTCCTTCAGGATACTGGAGCCCATGTGCACCATTGGTTTAGGATCCGGTTAAAGCGCCGGACATTCGCTTTTCGTCCTCTCATTTTTGTAAACAACACCCCCGCCACGAGAAGGCAGTGAGTAGGACTTCCCTGGCAGAGGCTATATACGCATGGCCATGTGAGAGCATTTCGAGAGGGAGAGCGGACTCTCCCCACTCTCGGCCGTACCAGGGCATTTGGGGGAGAAATACTTCTGCTTGCTACTTATTGTGATGTAATAGGACTACTTTACTGACAAAAAGAAGAAAACAAGACAGAAGAAGTAGACTGATTTATTCACCAACCACTAATTAAACGATATCCAAAATAGTGGTAATAAAGATTTATATATCATTTTTAATGTTTGGTTAATCAATCGTCAAATACGTACGAACAATTTTGCAAAATTTATAAATGAGCTGGCTTAACCGAGAAATATAATTCCTCACTACATTATATATGTCTCCTTCCTGAAAAGAACAATAAATGTCCATAAAAACGCACAAAAATGCATAAATAACAATTACAACAGAATGTATATTGAAAAACTGATAACAGTTTATACTGAAACTGGTAAAATGACGTAAGGTAACTTATACACACGATTAAGTTAATGCTGAGTATTATATACGAATAAAAAATAAGGATAACTTATTTTAATAGAAGGAACTCATACACTAATTAAACTTGACATATGAAAAGTTGTTAATGATGTAAAACAAATTATTTACAGAATACAGAAGTAAACATATCATTTGATTGAATGGTATAAATAGAGCTGTTGGTCTAACATTGATCAATTTACGATCTAAAAAATCCAACAATCTCAACTCTATGCTGATAATTGTTATGTCCTCACTGGTAGCTAGCTTCAACAGTTACTTCTCAGAGTTCTAATGAGAAGACGCGACCAGTGGAGTTCAACCTTTTCAGGTATGGGGCAGTTATCCACCGAAGACAATGGAAGATGATCGCGCAATATCGTGGATTAGTTGAAGACAGACATTAACACCTACGGATGCCGGCTCAGTGGCCTTGAGGTCAGGCGTTCGCGCTAGACCGGAGGTCCTGGGTTCGAGTCCCGCCGCATGCGGGATCGTGGGTGCACACTGCCGTGGAGTCCCATACTAGGACGAAACGGCTGCCCAGTATTTCTAGGTTTTAAAGGGTGGTATAACATTGATCAGCTAATGATCTTAGTAAAAACTCAATAATATCCAAAACCTTATAATAATTATTTTGTTTATTTGAACTCTTATTTAATTGACCTTTATTAATTTGTGTATAAAATGCCTTGGCAAGTATATTTGTGACCAGGTTGTTCAAAATGTATAGTACAAATAAATCACACTTTTCACAGCAATTCCGCTTCTTAATGTTCTATCAAAATTTAAGTAATATAATTTAAAAATATCCGACCGTATTGTGTATTGTGAAATCAGGTCATGTGAAAATTTATTATGATATAAAAGTGATTGATTAATTAATGAGCCTATAATTGTTTAGTCTAAAGTATACAATAATAATTTCGTCATTTCATCATAATTAATATATAAATAAATAATTCTACAATATTATTCTTCATAAAAAGTTGATTAAATTCAACAAATCTTACTGCAAGATCAGCATAGACATGATCTCCAAAATATAATATACTAGCTGAAGACCAACCTGTATGTTTTATCATCTGTTCTAAACAACCCTATGAAAATAGAAATACAAGCATTAAAATCAAATATTAAATAGAACTTAAAGGTTAAAAAAATAGTTTTGTTAAACTGAACAAATCAAAATGATTTGAATAATTTATTGAGTATACTGCCACTTAGGAGTACCTAGTTATAGTGAAATTAAGGTATAGTTGGTCATTAAGTGTGGACAAGCAGACACAATCCACTGACTAGTAAATATGTGATTTCCTCTCCCTATTCATTTCTACTTCAGACTTATTGAGAGTGACTGTTTGTAATTGTGTTGAATAATGTACTATCTGGCGTTAATTTGGTTCTCTACTGTGGGTTGTGAATCCTGGATTTGACATAACGTGACTAGTCTCACTATCGTATTAACGTATGACAGTAAAATACATGAGAGAGAAATATTTTAAACCATGCGTTATATCATATTTAAAGACAACCAGTCGTTTCGTATTAGCTAAAAGTAAACAACCTATTAAACAATTGTCATATTTTTATTTTAAGCTTGAAAAACAAACACGTTTTACATTGTTTATAAACCTTCATCTATAAATTTCAGTTCATGATCTGTGGAAGAAAGAAATAGAAGATGAGGTTATTCTAAACTACTTTAATTATAAACTGTCAATCATATACTTATTACAATCTTATCATGAGTTAACAGGAGATTGATACAAACTGTCGTATGACCCTCTTAGAACATCTCCATGTTTAATTAAAACCTTATCGACTAGATTATATGTAGGAATGTCTAGATCAATTTGTATAAATTCTTCTTTGTCTATTTTCTTAAATATCCCCTTGTTCATTATTTACCGTTAAACTTGAATGTATTTCGATTGTGCTGGGTTTGTGTGTGTCATCTATACTTGATAAGTCTTCTCGATTGAACGCTACTTTGTTATATCGGGTCGTCGCTGATTATTATTTCGGAACCGCTTATAAGTTATACTGGAAAACGAGGAACCACTGCAATCCCCACGACAAAAAAGAACACAAAGACTGGTACAAATGAAGATTTATTAACATGACGACGACTCTAGTCGAAAATACACTCATTTATATATTGATTGAACACCCGCTTTGATTAATAATTAGGATGAAATCACATATATATGAAAAATACTTGCAGTTAGAACAAATCACATGCTGCATGTCTTGCTGTGCATAGTTCATGTCAATTGAATACATGAATATCGTGTTATACAGAATAAAATGTCACACGGGAAAACAAAACAAACACTACATTGGGTAATGATCACATTGAATCAAAACGGAAGTAATGTTGAACAAAAATCACAATGAGTAAATCAATCTAATTTTGACTTTTCTTCCCGTCATATCAATACTCTGTTTTTTTATCTATAATTGATATGTTATTCACTATATTAGATACTAATTCACCCATTTTTTTTCACTGAGTAGGCTTTTTCAGTTTCTTCTGAAAGCATCTATTCAATTTCCTTATTCACTCGTTTAGTCTGTCTACTTACACGAATGTCTGAAATAAGTATGTCCTAAATGCAACTCGCATTCGACCTTTTATTTCTAGATTTTATTAACATGATTGGTCAACAGAGGTATACGAAGTTAAACAAGTTACATATTTCATTGACATCAATATCGCCCAATCATATTGGTGTCAACAATAGGCACGAACTAGCCAGTTAAACGTCGTTCCTCGGAATATTATTATAGTTGGCTTTAACATAGGTTCTTTGATACATTATTAATAACAATGGATCCAAGGTCAACAGAAGTGTACAGCCATAAAACAATTTCGAAAAGGGATTTAATGAAATCTCTCTTTACAAACCCGATGCGAATTACTTGACTAATTGAAACGCAAACAATATCATAATCGAGAGGAGCCTGACCCACATCTGTAGTGTTGGGTTTATTGGACGTTGAATAGTCTTAGGTGTGTATCATACAAAATTTATTTGACACAAAATGAATATAACAAAATCACATGGAAACCATTATAGATACCTAAATATTGACCAATGTTATTCATTTGAACGATGATGACCAATTAGTTAATGTAAAAGTGCAACTATGATCATTTTTGTAGCACTCATGACAGTGTCATATTTCAAAATGAAAGTATGGTAAAATTAAGGAAGTTAAGTTAACAGAAATAAATTTTTGCTTTGCATTCGTTTCAAATATTGTATTCAGTTCAGTAAAAACCGACAAATTTGGTCAACCTTGACAAACACACATCAGGGTTTGTTCAAACGTGAACTTATTGCTATAAAACGTCTCACTTTAAATAACTAATTACTTCTATTAGCTGCATGTATTTACGTGTTACCGTAACATCTTTATAATCACTTAACATATTTTGTGTTGAGAAACCTTTGCTAAAATCATATATAGGGAAATGAATATTCAGAATATTATTATTATTGTCATTATGGTGAAAATATATCACATACTCCTTCATATATTTGACCTCGTTTAAATGTTTGAACCGCTTCCCAATGTTTGAAAGTTCCACTGATATCAGTACGTCGAAATTGCCTACAAAATGTTGAAAAATAACTTGAAATTCGTGGAATAGGAGATATGACTTAATATTTATAGGATATTGAATTATGAAATGGAAAAGCTCAGGAATGTGTTTATGAATCAATCAATAGAACTCGTTTCCCAAAATATGACGCACATTAATATGAGGAATACTTTGACAAATAACCAGGTATCGCTTCACAGAAAAGATAGTCTAAAGTTAGATGATGTTCAGAATGATTACAGATGGAATTCACCTTCCAAATTAAACCGGTTTATGTTTTCATTTATAGATATTTTTATGTGGTTGATATATATTTACGTATTCTCAGACGAAAGACAGTATCATATTACACACTACCAATCCTGAAGAATTGTTTCATTCATAAGTACAGATGTACTTTTAGTCGGAATGATTACAATATTAATGTAAACATTACAAAATTCATTGATTAGAACATGTAAAATGTTTCATAATAATAATATCATAAAGGCATATTTACATTGTTCTCAGTTAATGAGAAGCCTTGAAATATAATGAATTCATGTTATTCGGTAAATCATGTCCGTCTCATTTTATTTATATTAATCACAATTAGTTAATTTCAGTTTGTATAAAAGCAAAAATATAAAGACAACAAGCTTTATTAGGAAAGCATTGAAATTAGAAAGACTTGAATTGTTCAATTAATTAATCGATTGAGAAAAATAAATGCTTGAAATTACATACTACTTGTGTCTAAACTATATGCTAAGCCAGATACAAAAGCGAATGAGTTATAATGAGCTTGAATTGTAAGTATTGTTATTACTACTATTGTTCTATTTTTTATTCTATACAACAGACGGATTTTTTTCAAATAAATACACAGACTTACATCATAACCTTGTCCTTCGGTCTTTTGTTTTACAGTCCGCTTAAAACGTTTAGAAATTTTGATAAAGAACTGTAAAAATTTTCGCGTTCTATTGTATTTAATCGCTGAAAGAGAATAATCATTGATCAACCCTTATATCATTTTGGAAATTTCACAGACAGTCGGTCACCAGACCTTCTAAACTAGGATTCAAATGCATTGTATTGAGGTCAGAATAAAATTCCACAAAATTGTTGATCATGAATTTGGCTGATAATTTCATTTAACCGGATCAGGAGTTTAAGAGAAATAGACTAGACGGTTCTTTACCATAATCTCAAGTAGTCTTGAGTTATGCAAATTCAAATTACTGTGGTAGAATAATTATAAGTTCTTATGTTAAGATTAACACTAAAGAGCTCGATCGTAAATTTTTATTGCAAGAAAATGTTCTCACCCGTGGTCCGGTTCAGTTACTAATAGGCACCCACTAGCATCTGGATAAGTCAACTTAACAGAGGAATATGTTTAGGGGTGTAGTAAATTGCATTTGTCGAACGAAGTCACTTATAACAGATAAGCATAACCACGTTTTTACAATGATTAATAAGATGAATATGTGGGCTCTAACCTTGGGGGTAGGGTAGTTTCAGTTGTTCAAAAACGACCACTTACCCTTCTATCTAAAAGATTGCATTGAGTGGTCTGGTAGGGCATCGGGATTTCCCAGCTGTGTTGCTTGTTTTATCGAGAGAAAATACATATACTTTAAAGTGGTGTCAATCAGATATTTCCTACTGAATCTACAGGGATGGTATTTCTAATCAGCGGTTACTTTGTCCAACTTTCAACACGGTCAACATATTAGTAGATTCCATGATATAGTTATTATCAATTCTCTCGTCGTTAATCAATAAATCAAATGTATTAACATATATTTAACCGTGAATTACATGGGTTTTGTCGTTAATGAATTGAAAATCCCACTAGTTTAATATAACAAACCTAAATGAGAGTCACGATTGTTCATGCAAGATAAGTTGCCATTTGTTAATCCTGATAGTGATCATCCTATCAACAATCGATTCACACTAAATTGAATTTCTGGGTTTCAATACAGAGAAATTGATTATCAGAGAAGGCAATTTGTGTTTATTCAACAAAATTTATTTACATGATAATCCGGAAGTAGAGAATACTTAAAAAAATTTTTAACAGTAAATTTAACTACTTAAATAGTAAAAAGAGTATAATTTCGTTTACTAAAATAGAGACAACTAACTAGAAATAAAATTTTCAAAATTAGAGGATTTTAAGAGAACAGCTTTGCAAAAGTTACACGGATAAGTACATGACTACATGGTGTATACTTGACATAAATTTTCAGATGAAATTAAATAAGATGGTGGAGAAGATTTGTAGCTCAGGTGGATGATTTTGATGGAGTTTTGTTCTCTGAGCTGGATGGTTTGGTCGTGGAGCTTTCATCGTTCTTCTGAACGACATCATCAGCACAAACTTCAGATAGAAGTGAAGTGTTCGAATTTCTCCATATGCGTTTCACAGCTCGTTCTGTGCACCTCGATGTTGATTGGTTCTTATTGACCTTAAATTTGTCATTGTTTACTTTTTTGTCTTGGTTTTGTCTCCTATTGGTTTGATTCTTGTTCCTATATTTGTGCATAAGTTTCTTGATTGGTTGATAAATCGGATCGATTTCAATATGTTTGTTGATTGCTGATTGCCCTGAGTGCCAGGCTTCTAAAAATTCTCTTGTGTATTTAGAATTTCCTCTGTCCACGATTTCCACATTTTTCCAATCGAATGTGTGTCCGCAGTTGTCCACGTGTATTGATATAAGTGAGGAGATATCATGCCGTTTGACTGCTAATTGATGTTCATGTAGGCGCAGGTGAAGGGGGCGTCCGCTTTGTCCGATGTAGTGTTTGTCGCAGTTGACACAATTTATTTTGTAGATGATGTTCGATTTATCTTCTTTTGTTATTTCATCCTTTGGTTTGCATAGGATTGACTGTAGTGATTTTGTCGGTTTGTGTGCCACACATATCCCGAAGGTTTTTAGCAGTCTTGTTGCGGTTTCTGATACGCCATTTATATATGGCAGGGTGATCCGTTTGTTGATTTGTGCTCTGATGCTGCATGTGGTTGGTATTTTTTGATGAAGTTGATTGGGTAGCCATTCTTTTGGAATACTTCCTTCAGGTATTTCTCTTCCTTTCTTCGTGCTGCTAGTGTGTCCTCGCCCTCTTGAACAAGGTTTGTACGGAGTTGATTTTATGTGCTGTTGGGTTGTTGCTATTGTAGTTCAGAATTTGATCTGTGTGGGTCGGTTTCCTATATACTTGAGTTTCTAGTTTTCCTGTGTCCGTTTTAGTGATTAATATATCCAAGAATGGTAGTTTGTTGTTTGCCTCCTGTTCCATTGTGAACTTGATGTCATCGAAGACGTTGTTGATCAGTTTGTAAGTGTTTTCTAGAAAACAAAAGAAGATAAGTCGAACATCATCTACAAAATAAATTGTGTCAACTGCGACAAACACTACATCGGACAAAGCGGACGCCCCCTTCACCTGCGCCTACATGAACATCAATTAGCAGTCAAACGGCATGATATCTCCTCACTTATATCAATACACGTGGACAACTGCGGACACACATTCGATTGGAAAAATGTGGAAATCGTGGACAGAGGAAATTCTAAATACACAAGAGAATTTTTAGAAGCCTGGCACTCAGGGCAATCAGCAATCAACAAACATATTGAAATCGATCCGATTTATCAACCAATCAAGAAACTTATGCACAAATATAGGAACAAGAATCAAACCAATAGGAGACAAAACCAAGACAAAAAAGTAAACAATGACAAATTTAAGGTCAATAAGAACCAATCAACATCGAGATGCACAGAACGAGCTGTGAAACGCATATGGAGAAATTCGAACACTTCACTTCTATCTGAAGTTTGTGCTGATGATGTCGTTCAGAAGAACGATGAAAGCTCCACGACCAAACCATCCAGCTCAGAGAACAAAACTCCATCGAAATTAAATAAGGCATATGAACATTTCATTAGGAGTGACAATGATAAATAAATCCACGCTACATTGAAACATTTACCTTTTTACTTCGTATGATAACAAAATAGTCTGAAGACGGGGGTGACTCCCGGTTTAAGAATCAGTACTGCTTTTGCCTTTTTGCACTCCCCCAATTCTTCTGTAAACACTTGACTATGTCTTTTTAACACAACGTTCTTCAGATCCTTCCCAACTGGTTTACTGGTTCTCACGGCGCTGCATATGTGGTTAATAGAGTGGTTTGTTAATTGTAGTGTTTCTAATAGGTCTAGACCCATCAAATCTATTCCTGTGTTCTCTGTGAGATATAGCGTTGCCTTCGTCTTTGCGTTTCCTTTTGCAACTGTGCAACAAACCTCTCCAACAATGTTCAATTTTCCTCCAGAAGCACTATGAGCTAACTGGGTTGTCGGTAGCACCTGTGGTTTTCCGATAAGATTCCAGGTTCTCCGACTGATAAATGTGATGTCGGAAGCAGTGTCGAGCTGCAGGCGGGCACGCTTTTTATTTAGATCTACGTTCACATACTTTCGTCGGTGGCAAATTCGTGCTCGATTATGTGATACCAATATTTTGTTAGTTAGTGCATCATGTCTGTTTTTCTTGGAATAGGGCTTCGAAGAATGTCGTTTATGGGTTATTTTTCTGCATATGTTTCCTTTATGGCCCTTCCGGTGACATTTACTACAATAATGTTCTCTATATGGGCAGATCCTTTTATAGCGCCAACCTCCACACGACCAACATGGAGATGAGGGCTGATTGTCTATGTGTGATGATTTTCTTGAGCCGGAATCTTTCTTTCCACTTACAGCATGAACGTATGACAACTGGCCATTATTTTCGACAACGTAAGTGTCGTATTTTAAGTTTACCAATCTCTGGCACTCTGTGGTTACTTGCTGTAGTGTTATGTTCGGACATTGTTCAATTTTACTCAAAATCCTGGTTCATATATCGTTATCTTCGGGAGACTGGAGGCTGCACACGAACACTAGACACTTAAACTGATCTTCTGTCAGTGCCAATAGTTTGAAGCGCTCACATTCACGGTGTACTAACCCCGAATGCTTCACCCAGTCATCATCACCTGCTTTTGTTATCTTGAGACATTGATAACGAATATTAAACAAGGATGACTGTTCAGCGAATATTTGCGACAAAATTTCAATCGTTGCATCAAAAGAAAAATCTCTTGGATTCTTTGGAAGGATAAAGTTACTGTAACGTTCATGTTCAACAGTTCCAAGTTTTCGTAAGAGTATTCTGACCTTAGCGGCGTCATCAAGTTTTTTGAGGTCGACCTTGAACAAATCTTCATATTTGTTGAACCAGGTTTCCAAAGTAATACCAGCTGAAGCATCGAAATTAAATTCATGGATAGAATCAATGATGTGGTTAACATGAGATTTGAAGGGATCATCTGCAACTTCTTTTTGATTCAGGTTCATTTTCTGGGTCAGTGTTTCTATCATGCGCATCTGGAACTGTTCGAAACGTTTTTCTTGACGTTCCAGTAAGGTTTCAAGTTGTTCAAAGGTAAATGACATCTTGATACGATAACCCCGTCGCCAATTGTTATATCTAGAAGATTGTTAACTTGATATACCGCGTATAACTGAACACTAGAACACCAAACCCTTCCAAGTCGAAAGTAGACAGAAAACTAGTGAAAGAAATATTATTCCAAACAGTGTCAATTATGGTACAAATTGTCAGGTATTTATAGTTTTTAGTAAGAACAAAAATCATCATTATAGTCCTCCAATCCACATACAGGGGGGCTATTAGCCTAGTCCAATCGGGAAGCTACACGTAGGGATTCCAGAATATTCTTCCTAAAGGTGATTGGATGGAATATCTTCGGCTCCTTCTGAGCCTCTTACAGCTCCCTCGAGTTCACCCGTGGTCCGTCGTCACAGAACTCTACGTAAAATTGAAATTACAGCTAGGAGGTCTTAACTAAAAAAGCAAAACTATAATAAGAATAACTGGCGCAACTTTAGGAACCTCAAAAGTATAATGAGTGAAGGGAGTTGATCTGAAAAAATATTTAGTACATTTCGAGCGATCCCATCACATAACACAGTACTTTTGAAATTTCTTTACATTGATATTCCAGGGAGAAGATAAATATATTTGGTCCCTGGTTCTATTTTAAGGATTGGTAAGTATTACAAGAGTAAGGTATACACTAACGATGAGAAAACCTTGAAGTTTTTGGTGATGGAGGAAAATTACTTATTAGAAACCGAATTGGATGACACATACAGCAACGAAATAATATAAACAATACAATTAGATACATATGAATAAAAGAAAATGTGAGACTAACCCCAGTGGTGATTTAAAGAACGATGGTTTATTGGCTCTAGAAATGATCACGTCAAATAATTCTTGCCAGTCGTTTCCAACCAAAAATTTTAAACCCCTATCTCTTCAGTTATGAATTATGAAAGTAGGATAAATTAGTGAGTGAATAAAACAAACAAACGTAGACAGTTTCGGAAACAAACAGCCATAAAGTAACATCCTAATACAGTATAAACATAATAATAATAAAGTAACAGGTTAGTGTACACTGCTATGGGCCATATATTCAGCGTGGGAGTTTGTTTTACTATCCGACTGCTTGAACCGAAGCAAATGAGACGGGACTGAAACATGGCGAGGTGTACATTTACTTAATATGCTTCCGTCAGGGTCTACAATTTAATAGATCAAACTTAGTCTATAAGCTACAGTCGCCGTGTGATCTTCTTTGATGAATGAACTCAAGTAATGTACCAATGAGAATCAAAATCGCAAAAAGCTAGGTGAATATAATCATGTGGATAAGATAATTATTTATATTGTTAGTTAAACACTGTTTATATGAAATTCCCTCTTTTGAAAAGAAAAAGGAAACACGTTGTTTAGTGCTAGTAAAATTATTATTCGCTCAGTGATAACGTTTGTAACTAATTGTGTTGTTAATAATGATATCGAGATATTCAATAGTCTTACTAGAGAATATTTTTTAATATACAATAAAGTGATTACTGGTATATTATGTCTTCAGAAACGTGATTTCTCTGCAAAAAATGTAATCAAGTCGTATTCCCCATGGAAAGAAACAACTGCTTGAGACGCTTACAGAAATATTCGATAAGAAATCATCGATATTCACTAGTTACAAAACGAAAACTGAGGTTAAAGCTATAGATAGTGGATAGTATAAAATATTAGGTAATAGGAGGCTTTTGATGATGTTCTTTACACTGAGTTAAATAATAAATTCCCCGAAGTTACTGATCACTGACATTTTGAACGGAATACTTAGCACCCACTTCAAATAAAAGTGAGCTGTTTTTAAAGTATTCTCTACTGATAAACTTGTTTATAATGTGTTACTTTCACAGGCTTCTTACCTTACTATTCGTCTTTGCATTCTCATAGTGTTTCACTAGGTTGACTTCTTACCATATGATTAATTGACCTTTTACGTATGCGTTAATAGATTCAATACATATTGATTAATATCAGAGACTTCTCGACCTTGAGTATGCGGATGATATTGTCTTACTGTGCGAGAATGCCCAAGCCATGCAATCCGCACTTAATCAGTTGGCAATCAATGTCCGTAGGTATGGTATGTGCTTTGCACCTTCGAAGTGCAAAGTACTTCTACAAGACTGGCAGGATTCCAATTCTATACTCACTCTGGATGGTGAGCAGATAGAAGTGGTCGAGAAGTTCTTGTATCTAGGTAGCTGCATAAGTGCTGGTGGTGGCGTGAGTGATGAGATCAATGCACGTATAGTGAAGGCCAGAGCGACTTATGCCAATCTGGGTCATCTTTGGCGCCTTCGTGATGTCAGTCTGGCTGTAAAAGGTCGGATCTACAACGCGTCGGTGAGAGCAGTTTTGCTCTATGCTTGAAAAGCCTGGCCTCTCCGAGCTGAGGATGTTAGACGACTCTCTGTGTTCGGTTGTCGTTGTCTCCGAAGGATTGCTGACATCCAGTGGCAACACCATGTTAGTAATGCAGAGGTTCGGCATCGCGTGTTCGGGCACAGAGACGATAATGCAATTGGTGTCACCATCTTGAAACACCGACTTCGGTGGCTTGGACATGTTCTACGAATGTCCTCCCAGAGAATTCCACGTCGTGCATTATTTGCCGACTCTGGGACTGGTTGGAGAAAGCGGAGAGGCGAACAGTATATGACATGATGTCGTGGTATGAAAGAAAGCTGCAAAGGGCTAGCTTCTGTTGGTCCTTCACGACTCCCTGGCTGGTGTCCGAGAGATGGTGTAACACAGTGGCTAGAGACGTTATCAAATATGGCTCAGAATAGAAGCCAGTGGCGATCCTGCTGTAACCTTCTTTTACTTTCTTCATAAAAAGTAGTTGCTTCTTCCTTAACTGAAAGATTTCTTCTGATCGTACCTTTCCGTTTTCCCGATTATTGTTCTCTCTCTCTCTCTCTTTTTTTATAATTCCCCACGTTCATTACTTTTTTTTCTCTCCTTCTCTTCAAATTATCATTGCTTTGTGTAGCGCATATATATTTGGTGCCCCCTTGTACCAATATTTATGTGTTTAAATAAATAAATAAATAAATATAGATTAATATCAGAAGGGGTTTTGTGGAAATTGTAGTAATTTCAATGGTTAAGATCATAAGTCAGTTGAAGCTAGACCACCATAGAGAACCTGGAAGCACTGGACGGCCGTTTCGTCCTATTGTGGGACTTTCCAGCTGTGCGCGTGCACGACCCCGCACCCCGCGAGATTCGAACCCAGGACCTACTGGTTTAGCACGCGAGCACCTATCCACTAGACCACTGAACCGGCATCTGACGGTGTTAATGTCTAACTCCAACCAATCCACGAAGTTGCGCCACCGTCACTATTGTCTTCAGTGAGCTGATGTCTCACGAAAGACCTGGCTGAACTCCACTGGTCTAGCTTCAATCGAATCATGATCTCAACTATTAAAATTACTACCATCTCCGCACAACTCCATATTTAGTAAAATTATTCTTTAAAACTCTTCCAGTTAATTTTTAAGTAGAAATGGATGGTGAATAGCAGTAAAAGTGAGGATGCACTTTTCGTCCTATTCGAGATATATTAATAACCATTGAAATTACTACAATCTCCACAAAACCCCTTCTGATATTAATCAACATATGCTCACTAGTGACTGGCTTTAAGAGGTATATCCTGGAATTCTAGTGAGAAGTAGTGACTGGTGGAGTTCAGCCAGGTCTGTTGTGAGACATCAGCTCACTGAAGACAATAGTGACGGTGGCGCAACTTCGTGGATTGGTTGGAGTTAGACATTAACACCGTCAGATGCCGGTTCAGTGGTCTAGTGGATAGGTGCTCGCGTGCTAAACCAGTAGGTCCTGGGTTCGAATCTCGCGGGGTGCGGGGTCGTGCACGCGCACAGCTGGAAAGTCCCACAATAGGACGAAACGGCCGTCCAGTGCTTCCAGGTTCTCTATGGTGGTCTAGCTTCAACTGACTCATGATCTTAACCATTGACATATTGATTAGTTAGTACGTCTTGGAAGCTCAAAATAGTAATATTGATAAGTGAAAGAATGACTGTTTATATAGATAATTTTCTTCGATTGATTTTAAATGATGTAGACTTACATGTAAGCAGCTGAACTGTTTGAAATAACAAATAATTTCTTATTATTTTTTACTAAGCGATGTAAAAACGTAGATAGTTGAGGTGCCTTCGCAATATACCTTTCTGTAAAGTTAAAATGAATCATATTCTCAATAGGTTGGATATACATGTCAAATAAAAACCTAGTTTTCTTAAAAGTAGGCATTAATCAAATATTAGTCTTTTAATATGATGGGGATCTTTAAAGAATTAATGGAATAATCAATGGAAGTTATGATACAATGAACGTTCCTATCTATTCTGATGCTTCTCGTTAGTATGTTACTTTTCACAGTTTGACGTCAACACTTATTATTGTTAATGATATTGAAAAACATGTTAGAATTCATCAAGTACCATCTGAACTTTAGAAATTTTAAAAATTAAATTGCCATAAAAACAAAGCTTTTAGACTCTATCTCAAAGGTACTCCATCAACAATGTACAGATATAAACTTTATACGTAAGGAAAAAACACAACTCCCTTAATGTTCAGGTACTGCTGAAAACCAAAGTGGATAGTGATCGATCAAGCCTCTCAAAACAACGAAGTGGGATTAGAACTAGTATTGGAAATTTATCGAACAAAAAAAATGAGACACACATGCAATCTAGAGATAGACTGTATTAAGTTACCTGGATCAGACATTACGGTTTGACCTAGAAGGCCAGACTTATGGACTCTTGCTACAGCTGTCTAAAAGATAAGTGTACATGGGATGAGATTTGTTAGTATTATCATGTTGACTTTAAATAAATAATTATATATATAGGTATAATTACCAAGGTTTGACTTGATAAATTTAATTGAATCGAGCATTGGGTAGATTGCTATAAATAAATAATATATTTGTAATATCCTAATGAGTAGAAAAATTAGATTTTCTAATGTTTCGTGACTTAGTGTAGGCCACTTCTTCACAGAGTGAATAACCAAATCAAGAAAATATCCTATTCATGTCAACACAGAATTGTATCTACAAATTAGGTTGTGTCGATTGTGATGCCTTCTATATTGGAGAATCATCTTGCGAAATCTTGACTCGTGCCAAAGAACATATTAGGTACACAAAGTAACCTCCTAATAATCCTGTAGAACTAGATAGACTTCAAATTAAATCGGCAATAGCAGTTCACGACATTTCCAACGACCACCAAATCAATTTCAAAAATATCAAAATATTATAAAGATTTTTCCCAATTACAAAGAAAGGAGAGCAGCTGAAGCATTCCATATAATGCTTAATCCTACTGCTCTCAATAGAAAATAAGGCCTTACCATTGATCCTACTTGGACTATCTATCCTAGCCACCTAGTCTGATATTATTCACAATTCACACTATTATCTTACGGATTAAACTCTATCCTTTTTCACCATAAAGGTCACACAGTTTTCATCTTTATCATTGCACACACATCCACACAAATTTACATACATGTCGCTTATTAATCACCTTGACCGAAATGACATGTCACTGATTTATTCAGACCTGTTTTTTGATTGATCAAATAATATTCTTGTGTTGTTTTGTTTAAACTTGGATTAATTTTGATTTGGTTATTTATTTATTCTCTGAAGAAGTGGCTTACACTACGTCACGAAACGTCAGAAAATCTAATTTTTCTACTCATTGAGATATTACAAATATACTATTTATTTAAAATAAATAGATAGTGTAGTAAGCGGAGAATAATATGCAAAAGGCACTACTAAACTACAAATATAATCAAAGCACACATAACACATGATTAAATTAAAACTAAACAGATGAAATTGTTTTTTAATTATTGCTTTGGTTGGTAAATTTGTCCTAGAACATAATACGATAATTTTTAATTTAACAATAAACCTTTATCTACCGAAAATTTAGATCATAGGACTACATGTTTTGAGCAATCTAACCCAAATCATTTGTTACTTTTTAAGGAGGTTTTCAACATAGTATGCTAAGAATTACGCAACAATTAATTTGTATTTAAAGGAGAAAGAGTAAAATTGGTAATAAAGATTAATGTACACATCAGTTGAAAGTTGAATATCTGTTCTACGGAGCATGATATATAAGAGTAGCGATTCGACATACGTACGATAATAAAGGATTTAGACTCTTTATTGAGAAGGATGTACGTCTGAAAAATCTTAATACTCAAGTACTATGCACATACGAAGTAATGGTGAACATACCATAATAATGACGTTTTAAAACAGGATCAAATTAACAATGAATATAAAACATGATAGTAAAACCGGAAAATGTTATATTCGTATATACACGTAAATCAATAACATGTTGGAAACACTCTGTTAAAGGCCTACAGTCAGTTACTGAATTAATTTATAGGTGAGTAGTATGATTTTTATTTCATATATCACATGTTCATCGCATACTTTACAATAAAATCAAGAAATACTGATCTGATATTCCGTATATTTGTTCGCTCACGAGTATGTTTATCATACAGTGTCTACAAATATTAATTAGAAAATGAGGCTTATATAATTTTGTAGTGCTTTCGTGACATTTATAAGCAATAATAATAATAATAATAATAATAATAATAATAATAATAATAATAATACAATGAAACTTCTGCACGCTACTAGATAATTGAAGAACACTTACAGAAACATCCTGATAAACATAAACAGGCTTATAATCTATTCCATGTCGATCAAAAAACTATAAACGAGAAAAAAATTATTTGGTTGATTGAAAGCAAAGTATTGCCAAAAAAGTTATTGTAGCAGTAAATAAATAGTAATAATTGAAAATTAAAAGATAATGAAATACATTATACGTGAAAAATATATTTGAAATAATCTCAGCGATTGAAATTTAAATATTTCCAATATTTTGTCCAGAAAACTGATCTGAACTTCTTCAGGGTAATAATTAAAATCAGAATTATCAAAGAAATATATAGTGTTTAACAATCAAATCAAATCTTTACTGTCCTAATCCAATCATATTTAGATGTTAACTTTGGTAAATTAGATAACATGATTAGGCTAAATGAGAATCATGTAAAAAGTTCACAATGTGAAAATGAATGAATTGTGTGTATATGTAAGATTGAGTTACTAATGATTGATATCATGTGTTAAATTTGCTTTTATATGAAGGAAAAATAAAAGTGCAAGTTGAAGAAGTCCAGACAAGTTTACTGGACCAAACGTTGAATATATATATATATATATATATATATATATATATATATGGGTTGCAGCTATCGTGAAGAGTAGATTTGAAACGTTGGAATTCTTGATCAGAGACTGGACTAAGACCATTTGTTTGTTTGATTAAGTTTTTGAATTGGATATGTGGAGCTAGGTGTATAGGTCGTTCGATGGGTACTTTATCCAAAAGAATTCAAGAACATTGTCCGGCGTGGCTAAAAAGAGGAGGCAACGGCTTAATAAGAAGTTCTATAATCGAACACTATGTGAAAACAGGTCACTCAATCAAGACAGAATCTGCGTTCAAAGTCATCTACACGATAAGTAGAAGTCTTCCAAAGACAATTGGACTGCATCTTCTTTGCATTGCCGAAGAAATAACCGCACATTTGGAAAAACCAGAATTATGTGTGCAGAAGAGACTGATACAACCTCTTCTTGTACCATGGTCTTGATGTATTAAAATTTTTCTCTTGTTCCTTTACAGCAATCTGCTTCACCTTCCACCTTCCCCTTAAATCTTCTACCCCCAATTGGTTTGTTTTTATTTCCATGATCATTCCGATTACATTTTATCTCAATTTCAACATTTTACCTTATCATGCTGAGTCATCCTTTCCCAGTGATGATTTCCCTATCTGTCTTTTGATGAATACTTAAGCCATTAACAATCAAACGATTATTAAACTTTCCTTGTTTTAAAAATTTTTTTAATACCTTTGTTTATTTAACCTCACTGTCACCATGTCTAACAAGTTTGTTATCAGTACTATTATCATCCTGTAAAAATAAGTATATATATTTGCGATTGTACAGCTTTGAAAATGAATTCGCTGAAAAGAGAACTCTTCGCTGAACTAATCTTTCGTATTTAATGTCTCAATGGGTGTATTCCGTTTATTAAAAAATAATTTTAAGTTGTCATATATCATTCAAGTTAATGAGCTCTTTTCAGAAGTACTGTTTCTATTAGATTAATTATTTTTAATTTCCAAGTAGTTCTGCCAATTCAGTTACTGTTGGAATGATTAATATGTACTTTATAAAACTGATAAGAGTTGACTATATTTTGCAAACGGAAAAAAATCTACCTGAATGATTTTTGTTCCATCCAAGTCGATCAAGTGATCAGTTTTCGCCAAATCTAGTGGTGTCTACAAAACGTTTTCGAGTTATCTAAGGTTTATATGGAATTCGGTTTTAGTCAGTAAAGCTCCCTTTTCATTCAAGTAGCTGATTTGGAAGCTTGTATATTATTAGAAGAATCGCAAGACCTCACAGTTTAACATTTTTAGTACCACAGTATATTTGATTTCTACTGACTTAAAACGTACAGCACAGTTTGAAAGGCAAAAATAATCATACGTTTTGATGGTATGGGATCTTTCAGATATTTGCTAAAGATTCTTTACGGTATCACAGATACACTGAAGTAATCACTCATTCAGTCAGACCTTCATACTCAATCTTTCGTTCCCATTCTCAAATATTTTATTTATAAAGTCCTTAAGATTATCATTTGTTATCGTTGTAGTTACAATTAAATCTAACTAGGTCTTTTTATGCTTCAATCCTGCGATGAGTTGTTGAAATCTGTTAATCACGATCTTTGTAATTGTTACCGTCGCTTATAGTGATTTGGTGACCTGTCTGTTGAGTATTTTTCAGAATTCGGGTTTTTGGGATAAATCAATTCGCAAATAATTATTGCGTTCTCTTTCAAATGAGCAGTTAATAAATCCTAGTTTGTGGTCATCAGATTCCATAACTCGTGAACTTGATTCCATCTGACATATTGTTAACATGATCAAAAAGTTTATCCAACCCATCTCGTTTTGTAATGACAAATGTATTTTCAAAGTACCTTAACCAGATTTTAAGTGAAAAGAACATTTTCAGATTACATTTGTTTCCGACGAATCCATGACCAAGTCAGTGACAACTAGATAAACTGATAGTCTCACAGCTACACCATCTGTTTCCCTGTAATCCCAAGGTTTTTATAATCTCAGAGAAAGCTAACAGGCAGTACAAATTTAAATCAGTGTCAGATTCTAATAAATAATACCCAATTCTTTATTAATAAGGAGATTAGTAAATAAGTATGAATCTCGGCTGATAAGAATAAATCAATGAATCAAAATTTATGTCAAAAACATTCCACTAATACTCAGTTTTGACCTTGAACTGGTTATTCTCTATTTAACCATAAGTCATGAAGTTGTACCTTTTTTACAAATATGACCAGTTTTCTCATTGAGTAATTTCGTTGTGTTCCTATTACTTTTTGGTATGTGTGCTTATTGTTCCCTGTTTCTAACTGACTGTACTATTTTAGATCTTTGTATTAATGGTATTGTCACCACCTTTAATTTGGTTTCTAGTAAAGAATTTGGTAACAACGACCTGATAATATCAAGAAACACTTTGTAGTTCCCAAACATTGAAGCTTTTCCTTGACTGTTTTATCATAAATAACTAGCTCAGGTTAAATTGAAACAGAAAACTAGTTGTTTTTTTCACTAATATCAGCTTACTTTGAAAGGTATTTTAAAACCAATAAACTTCTCTAAACGACTTCTTTATATAACATAAACAAACTTATCGGCCAACTGATCCAGATACAAAATAGTAATTGGAACAAAAATATAAATGGAGAATGACAGTATTTTTAAGTAAAACAATGATAATTTTAGAAATCAGTAAGCGCTAAAATAGAATACTAATAATACGACTTACATCTATAATAGAACATAGAAGATTAATTTCCGGTAATCGGAAAAGATCCATCAACTGAATCATAATGGTGTCCTAAAATGTACAACAAAAACCTAAGTGGTAGTTAAACATTTATTTAGTGATCAAGAGTTCTTGAAAAGTAAATCATAGAACATGTTTGTAGTTTTTGTGAGTAGGTCGGGTAAGGCCATGAGTTTTATGATCTCCATCATGAAATCCATATCCAACAGATGTGAGATAATCCTTTTGTCGCGAACCATAGAACTTATTATTTATAGTCAAGAAGACTAAAATCTATGTACTGTACACCAAAATTGTTTATCACAAATTGAGTACAACGTACTGCAACGATAAATAACTTACCTTAGTGGGGATTTTCTTTTATTTCTGAAGGTAGTGACGAGTACATAGAGTAAATAACTAGAAAATAAAACAATAAACTAAATAGCTTTGGGCCATACAACTGACTGTTTCGGACTAAAAGGTAAGCGTCGACTTAAGTTCTGAATTTTATTGTCCCACACTATCAAAAATAAATCAAGTAGAGACTTTTATTCAAAGTCAGTCATAACCAAAGTACAAATGACTAGATGGATGAGAACACCAGTCGGTTTAAGAACCATTATTTATGGAGCGAGGATCGTCCACTTTTGATAAGGAACCTGATGAAATGGATGAAGATGGGCTATACGAATAACAGGGTGATAAAGACAAATTTTGATAATTGCGCTGCGGAATAGACCTTCTTTTGCCATCTTGAAGGGTTTTCCTTCAACTCCGTTGATTACGAATGGAAACGTTTGAATGATTTTCTTTCGACCCTTTCATGGTTTTCAGAGCCAACTTTTCATCCACTGATATATCATTATCAGTGGTTCGACCTTCATCCAGTACGTCTTGATAAGGCATCTCAACGGTCCTCTCAAGCTCCGAGAGGTGAAGTCAATTTAACTTTGTTTGATTTTTCGCCTGAGCTCCAAATAGCTCCGATCACGTCCAACCGAAAATAGTTCTTATCACATGAGGTTCACCTAGTTTGCCTAGCTTTGGTTCTAAAATTCTATGAGCGCCTAGTGCATCACATCCTATCAGCAATACAACAAGTTCAGTCTTACATTTTTTCAGCTCTACATCTTTCAAATGACATAAGGACTGTAGCTGTTAAACATTAGGTTCTACAAGTCTTATATTAAGCAAAACTGGCACTGCGTAAGCTCGCTCAACGTGCATACAAGTCTGACCGCGAATCTAATCAGGTTACGGCCCGTCACTCGCTATCGTGATTCATGGTAGCCAATCGAATATGGACGCCCTCGACCTGTAGCTCAAATTCGTCTACTAATTCTTGCAAGGCGAGAGTTGAGTTTGAACCGCTGTTGAAGAAAGCTAGAGTTTCTTTTGTTCGATTAACGTAACAAAGAATTACCGGGACTATTGCCACAGTTGCTCTTGGCTATTCTCGTGCTACTGTCGCTTTAGTCATAAGTCGATATCCTGGAACGTGATTAATACTAATATGTGCATCAGGTTGAGAAACATCACTAGTTACATATAACAATGTGTGATGGCGCCTGCCACATACTCCGATAGTACTTCCTCTTTTGATTCGACAGCTTCTAGCCATATGCTTGACATTTAGACACAAGCGATATGACTTTTGTCTCTGATTGTGTTCACTTTTCCAGTGTGCAACACTAGTAAGAGGAATGGATTTCACTACAGATGGTACAGACTAGACTCTTATTGCGTTGCTTATTGTTAACAGGAGGATACTACAAAGCAAAAATACTCTTCTTAGTGTTGAATAATGCTTGAAGTAAAGTTCCTTTAACTCGTTTATCCGATTTGCTATATCTGCTCGCTCTACCACGAACTTAGCTAAATTTCAAGATATAAGCTCTCCACCTTGTTACATATACTCTACGTTCATCTCTACCCACTTAGATCTAGGATTCGAAGGTAGACGTGAAACTGAAGTTCCGAATGTCATAACTCTAATCTATCCTAGATCGGACAGAGCCATAAAATCATGACTTTTATTTGGTGGTTAGTCTACTATTTCGTCTATGAAGGACCTATTAACCATATAATTTTGTCCAAACCGTTTTCTTACAACATCTCTAGCTCACGTAAATCATTCGGATCCGTCCATTATGTAACAATGTTCGATATCACTTTTAGCTCGTCCGGTACAAAACTGAATTAGATTGTTAAGCTGCTTAGAATCGTCGTTCGTCGTTTGTTCAAAAACTTAGGAATTCCTTCAAAAAGACCAAGTACTTCTGTGGATTGCCATCAAACTTCTGTACTTCTGACTTAGGTAGCTCTAAATAACGTTCGAAATGACCTGGAACTGCACCCGACATAGGTTGCTCATATTTTTTAATTAAACTATCGTCTTACGGTTCAGGATTCTCTATTTTATGTTGTAGTTTCTTCAGCGCGATCCGCTTTTCAAGTTATATCCTCAGCATGACTAAATCCAGTTCCAATTGCTTTAGATAAATGTTCGTATGATGTCCTGTATTGAAATCTTCCTCATACTGTATAGATAAGTTTGGTATTCTGAATTCCCTTCAGCTTTACTCGGAAATGTCTATATATATATAAGTATATATAAAATATATATACGTAACCAAGACAGTCTTCAAGTGTATCTGAAATACAGAACAAATGTCTCTTAATCCAGATCGTAATATCATATCAGCATGATGAGATCAAATTGTCAGGATGAACACCCAAGTAGTGGTAGCAGTACCAATGTCAGTAAAAAAAGTAAATCGGGGAATAAAAGGCATAAAATAATTTATAAACTTAAGAACTAAGAAAAGACATAACGTAAATGAATCTGTGCCACTATAACTAATTTTGAGTCATGTCACCCAACGTCTACAATCACTGGATACGATAAAGCTGTAGACCTCAAACAGATGGTTTGCGTCTACCAACACGGTTCAGACCAACAGTTAACCTCTCTACGGATTGATGTTACTTTTTAGTTTGGACACCTCTATCTTTCTTTGAAGCCATTATTGCTCAAGCAATGCTTCGGAAACACCTACAATAAAATAAATGTAGAGAGATGGCTTACTGGTTAAGGTGCTCGACTTTCAGTTATCAAGTCTCAGATTTGAATCTCGTTCATCCTACTTCGGTCTGAGCAACTGAGTAAAACAACTGGCTCTTACACATAGTCTGAGGTTCATACCCAAGTACCTAGTGAGTTAATTTAAATTTGAAATTTAAGTAAAAAATCAAATACTACTAACCTACAGATGGGTTTTACTTTTAAATACCGCGTTCCACAGCTCCAAAGTGAAACACATAAAACTGTCAGTTGAAAAAAAGGATAATTGTATAATTGTAACCTTGAGGGGAACAGTGCTTCCCGGAGGATTTAATCCCGCGTCGTTTATCCCTCCTGTGTGAGACGTTATTATTGAGTTATTTAGGCATCGACTGACCTGTAGGAATGGAATATTTACAACCAACTGATCCCTGAGTGGTGACCAATATTATGTTTGTCAAGTCCTTCAGTCCCAACTGAATTTACTCCCTACTATTACTTTAGGCATTGACGCATACCAGTCTGAAAGCGAGATTTAGCCTTTAAAGGGGCAAGAAACGAACCTAAAATATACTTGCATTGTTGATCAAAGTGATCAGAAAACTTTGGATTTCATTAGCCATTATCAAACAGAACTGTCATTTATGCAGTCTAAGTCAATAGGTAGATTTCCTGATAGAATATTAATCTCTAAAAAGTTGTATGGAGAAAGTTTTGTCTCTAAGACAGTATCTACTACGAAGTTTAAAAAAACTTTTTTAACGACATATGATAAACCTACTAGATTTTAATGATATACTTCATATATAAACAAAAGGCTTACATTAGGTGTAAATTTTTGTTTTAAAATATCACTAGATAAATGACTTCCACGATAAACTCTTAATATCTCATCCAATGACAGTAGTGTAAATCCACGATAAACAGTATCCAGTTGAATATGATGAAATGCATCTACTTTCATTAATAAGCCCTATACATTAAGATAATAACCGTAAGAAAACAAAAGATCAATGAGTTGTATGCAAAGAAATTCTACATATGGTTGCATATGATGAGCTTAAAAAAGCATCTGCAAAAAGACCTACAAACTTTTCGATACATAAAACCTTACCATACAGTTATTATTTTTCGAAAGAGTTTGACCATCATAGAACGAATGTAATCAAAGCTGTATTACAGGTATGAACTCCATCTAATCACTTGCATCAAACTAGATACTCAATGATACATTGACTACTCAATAGTACAGTTTCGATCGGAAGAAACAATTGCAGTGAGGTCAGTAGTACATAGATGGCAAAAGATAATGCCTGATTTATTCCGTTTTAATAACTATGTATTGAAGAAGTCCAGAAAATACCTTCAATACTATTCACTAAAAACTGAATTATTAGAGATCGGATTTATACGAAACTATTATTATTATTATTATTATTATTATTATTATTATTGTTTGATCTGATCTCGTAGTAGTTTCCTAAACCATAACACTATGCAAGAACTTGAGATAAGTTATTGATGAACCATAATTAACTCATGCAACCACATTCTCCTACTAACTTATCGATTTCAGTTGGTTTGCATACAGAACAACCAGCAGAAGTGAAACATGATTGGATATTTTATGACCTTAATTCTTATACCTGATGACTCCGATTATTTTATTGTCATATGGTTTTTACTGAATATACTATAAATAAACGACAGCTTCAAATCACCAACTAAATATTCAATCAGCATCCCAGTGACATCGCATTCTGAAGTCATTTGCTCAGGATTTGAGGATCGGTCGTATGAGTTCTGGTAGTCAGCATGGTAGCTGAAAGATTTAATAGTTCAACCATAAAATTTCACTGCTACATTTTCGCCAATTAGGGTCATAGTACTGTCTTTTAATTGTTTCTCATCCTTTATATAGACCAAAAATTGTCTAGTGACAATCTGTGCATAAGATTGTCATGCGATCGAAATAATAATAATAATAATAATAATAATAATAATAATAATAATAATGGTAATAATAATGTATTTGATCTACTTGTATTGACCAGTAAACATTATTTATCGTTAATTGCTAACTAAGACAAATAACAGAAGGGGTTTTGTGGAGATTGTAGTAATTTCAATGGTTAAGATCATAAGTCAGTTGAAGCTAGACCACCATAGAGAACCTGGAAGCACTGGACGGCCGTTTCGTCCTATTGTGGGACTTTCCAGCTGTGCGCGTGCACGACCCCGCTCCCCGCGAGATTCGAACCCAGGACCTACTGGTTTAGCACGCGAGCACCTATCCACTAGACCACTGAACCGGCATCCGACGGTGTTAATGTCTAACTCCAACCAATCCACGAAGTTGCGCCACCGTCACTATTGTCTTCAGTGAGCTGATGTCTCACAACAGACCTGGCTGAACTCCACCAGTCACTACTTCTCACTAGAATTCCAGGATATACCTCTTAAAGCCAGTCACTAGTGAGCATATGTTGATTAATATCAGAAGGGGTTTTGTGGAGATTGTAGTAATTTCAATGGTTAAGATCATGAGTCAGTTGAAGCTAGACAAATAATTTGTGTCGTTGTCATTTTATAATAAACTTTTCCTAAATTAAATAATTTGGGGAAATTAATTTTATTAGTAATGAGGTAACATACTCGTTTTACATCAAAATGTAAACCACGTCTAGCGAACTCAGTATAATTATAGTTCAGAATTTCTTCAGGATACTTGTGTTTGTTGAAGATTGTGGTTCGAAAGAAATTTGAATGAGTGTAAAATAGTTTAAAAAAAAAGACCGATTACAAAATGAAAATTTATTTATATCTGAATTGGTAAAATTAAATAAAAAATTCTGAAATTTTCAAAAAATAAAGTTGACTGACATAAAAACAACATTATACTTTAGTTTATTTACTAGAATCAGAAATCAAAGATATTAAACGGTTCAACTGTATAACAACAAAGTAAATAGATGGAACTATCTACGTGTTGAGTCTCCTTATTTGCTCTAGTAATCTTGGACACTTCATTCCACTCGATTAATTCTCAAATCAAAACACGACTTGGACAGAACAAAAATTTATTCCAAACGAAAAGGCGAATCCCGTTAAGCAACAAAATGTCAATGTATATACAAACATTACACTGTAGTATTCTTGTCTTCTCGGTTCATCCATTGACGCTGATCGGTTGAAAGTGGACCAATCAGCGCACTTCAACGTGATCCTGTTTAACACATCCTTTAAGTAAGCGTTTGTCCCGCCAACACGGTGGTATATAATAAAGCATAATTATTGCGTGACAGTTGGGAGCACTAAACGAGTAATCTAACTAAACTAGGTTAGGCAAGATTAGAGTCCATCACACAAATGACTATGTATTTGGAACTTGAAACATTGAACAATAATTAATTACATATGGCATTATATGGATCACGCGTTCCATTTAGGGTTGGAAATGGACGGGACCGCAAAATATTTGAACAGAAAAGTAAAAACTCCATTTTTGTTACATTGCTTTTGAATGACAAAAATATCTGATATATATATATATATATATATATATATATATATATATATATATATATATATATATATATAAATTATTGAGTAAAACACTTACACTGGCCCGATTTACAGCAATATATAATAAGAATCGTAAGTCAAGAGGAATAGGACAATATGATCTGTTGTTAATTGGCCGATTAATCTTTCATCTCACAACAAGTCATTTCTACTGTCTTTTTAATTATCCTTACTCTCAGACCTCATCTAATATATGTCTGAAGAGAACCGGTAAAGCTTGAAAACTAGAAAAACTAACTCATGGATCCACACATTCATGTATCATTTAGTTACTGTTAGAGCATTAACAAAGATACAAATATTAAAGACTGTGAGTATGATTTGCAGATTGATGAATCACAGGACGAAACGCATGTTCTGGATTTTACTGCTAGCAACTATCCGACTGAACAGTTTTAAATAAGCTCCTGAAGGACTACTACCATTATTTTGTGTAACCTAACTAGTTAAGTATTGGTACAAAACACTTTGAAGAGGTACATTATATGTTAATTAACTTGGAAGTGTGTTTGCCAACTTACATCATCTATGGCGAAGGCCAGATATCCGTCTATCAATAAAAGGACGAGAATACTGCGAGGCAGTTCGTTCTGTTTTAATTAACGGCAGAGAAACATGGCCATTAATAGTAGAAGATACTCGTAAGCTACAAGTATTTGACCACAAATGTCTTAGAAATATTGCTCGCATCTGCTGGGATCACCGGGTAAGTAATAGTGAAGTTAGACGCAGGGAGTTAAGGAATGATGAGGTTATGAATCTTCATCGACTAAGATGGTTGGGCCACGTGTTGCATATGCTGGAACACAGATTACCACGATACGCAACGCTAACCGATGTTGGGGATGGTTGGAAGAAAGTTAGGGGTGGCCAAACCCCAACGTGTTGTCAGTGCTTGAAGTCACTAACTTCTGGTCTGAGCCATGTTGGTAGATGCAGACTACTTGGTGACATGGTTCAGAATCGATCGCAATGGTGTAGGTGTATACACTCTCTGTCTTCCTTTAAACTAAGAGATTAAAATCACTTTATATCTTTCTACGTACTAATTCTTTCTTCCTGTACTGTATCCTTATATGCAATCTTTCTTTTATATATTACCACCATTGACTTAACCACTCCTATGAATTTGGTGTTTATCTTGTTGTGCTAATGCGGTATGGCAACTTGGAACGATGCATATATGTGCCTGGTCCTACGTTGTAGCTGACTGACTGGCTGAGTGTGTTTGCCAGATTTGGAGTCATCAACAAAGAGGTAAATAATATGAACTCTTGATTTGGGTTGTTTTGTCAAACTGGTGACTACTCTCACTTTCTATAACTTTAGGTTGAAAGAGTCTTCGAAAGGGCATAATAGTACATAGATTTTAAAAAGTTGAGCATAAAACATATTTTCCCCAATTTCTTCCATTGATAAAACGGCTTGGAACTGAATCGAAATGAAATACAACCCCCACAGACATATATAATGATGAAAGCAGTTAATTTCAGACACTGTTTTCACTATATGGGATGGATACTATTCCTCTGTAATTTGATAGTTAAAATTCCTATTCAGAGTGCTGATTCATTTATGTGCTGTGAGTGACAAGGATATATGGCAACTACACCGAGTTAAAGAAGTATCATTTCACCTTTGCTGATATGAAAAAAAAATAGTTCATGGGTTTTAGTATCACAGTACTTACATGAACTTTAAGTAAAATTGGCTTGTGAACAACACACAGTAAGACGTAAAAGATTGATATCACTGAACGTTAAGTAACATAATACATACATATGCGCCACACAGATCTCATTTGATATGTGTGAGGGCTGTGATACTGCCCGGGTGCCCAAACAGAAGCAGGTGGTTTTCTTGGGGGGTCACATCCCGAGCCTTCGACCTGAAGATCTGATCCACAAGGCAGTGGAGCATCGTAAGGAGATGCAGTCCCATGGTAGCCGGTGACCAACGATTGGTTCATACGCCATTTGTTCCTTCAGGATACTGGAGCCCATGTGCACCATTGGTTTGGGGTCCGGTTAAAGCGCCAGACATTCGCTTTTCGTCCTCTCATTTTTGTAAACAACACCCGTGGTGCAAGAAGGCAGTGAGTAGGACTTCCCTGGCAGAGGCTGTATACACGTGGCCGTGTGAGAGCATTTCAAGAGGGAGAGTGGACTCCCCCCACTCTCGGCCATACCAGGGCATTTGGGGGCAAGTAACATAATACAAGGTAGCATCTGAAAAGAAACAATAATTAAAAATTAAATTTCCTATTCCTTATGTATGCCCATTTTGCTTAAGAATCCGAAAACTTATTTGAAGCTGCCAACTGGAAAAAAAGTAAAAATAAGAAATACATAAACATGTTTTATGAATTATTTTCAACAGTGTATTTCACAGTTTACAAAATGACATAGTTAACTGACCTTCATCTGTTCAACAAGCCAGTTACGAGATTCATTGAAAATAAATTCGTCCAACTCGGATGTATAATGAGCCAACGTGTAATCATAATCAAACCCATACACTTGAATTTTGCTCAACTTTACTTCATTGTTTACAAACACATCCCGCGGATTAACTTGATCGAATGTGGTTATGTATTCTAGAATTGTTAAATGAAATGAGTCAAGTCTCAGAAGAGATGAAAAGTGATATGATGGAAAGTAAGCATTCGATTCTTAAGTTATAACAAAAATAAGTATAGTATCAATAAGCATTCAATAAAACAATGATTTGATCTATTCACTCTTGGTCAAGGGGATAAGACGGATATGCAGAACAATATGTGGAACAGTTTCAATGACCTTTCAACTATCTACAAACAACCCGAATGGGGGAATTGACATCAGTCCTCCAAATCTCAGTGAGGATGAAAGGACTAGTCAGTCTAAACACAGTCAGTCAGTCAGTCAGCTGCAACGTAGGACCAGGCACGTATATGCATCGGTCCAAGTTGCCATACCGCATTAGCACAACAAGATGAACACCGGATTCATAGGAGTAGTTAATTCAGTGGTGGTAATATACAGAAGAAAGATTGTGTATAAGGAGATAGTAAAGGAAGAAAGAATTAGTTCCTAGAAAGATATGAAGCGATTTTAATCTCTTAATTTAAGGAAGACAGAGAGTGTACACACCGACGCCATTGTGATCAATTCTGAGCCATGTCACCAAGAGTCTCCAACCATTGGTTACGATAGTCACGCGGACCCCAACCAGGCAGTCTGAATCTCCCAACATGGCTCAGACCAGAAGTTAGTGACTTCAAGCACTGATGCCACGTTTTGGTTTGGCCGCCCCTAACTTTCTTCCAATTATCCCCTGCACTAGTCAGCATTGCGCGTCGTGGTAATCGGTGTTCAGGCATACGCAACACGTGGCCCAACCATCTCAGTCGATGAAGATTCATAACCTCATCAACTGATTTACCATCATTCCCTAATACCCTGCGTCTAACCTCACTATTACTTACCCGGTGATCCCAGCAGATACCCGCAATGTTTCTAAGGCACCTGTGGTCAAATACTAGTAACTTACGAATATCTTCCACTCTTAAAGGCCATGTTTCGCAGCCGTATAGAAGGACGGAACGAACTGCCGCGCAGTATACTCGTCCCTTAATTGATAGACGGATATCTCGCCTTCGCCATAGATGACGTAAGTTGGCAAAGGCCAAGCGAGCTTTTCGAATCCGTGCTGAGATTTCGTCAGACACCAACCCATTAGGGCTGATCAGACTTCCAAGATAAGTGAAGTTGTCAACGCGTTCGACTACTTCACCCCCTATCCTTAGTTCAGGTGTTGATGCAGACCAGTCCTGAAGCAACAACTTGCATTTAGAGGGAGAAAAGCGCATCCCAAACATTCTAGCATTGTTGCTCAGTGCTACCAAAAGACTCTGCATTTCATCAGCGTCTTCACCAAACAGGACTATGTCATCTGCGTATTCTAAGTCAATAAGTGGACCTCCTGGTAGGAGATCAATACCCGAGAAGTCAGTCGATGAGAGCGTTATTTCCATCACTAGATCTATGATGAAGTTAAACAAAAATGGAGAAAGTGGACAGCCTTGGCGGACGCCACTTGAGGTTGCAAAAGCAGATGACAGTTCGCCATAAACTCTCACTCGACTAGTAGTGTTCGAGTAAAGAGCCTTCACAAGGTTTATGTGCTTCTGAGGTACGCCTTTCAATGACAGACACTGCCACAGAACCTCTCGGTCAACAGAGTCAAACGCTGCTTTTAAGTCAAGGAATACCACTATTGTCGGACGCCGATAAGTATGCCTGTGTTCTAGAACCTGACGAATGGTGAATATGTGGTCGATGCAGCCACGACCAGGTCTGAAACCAGCCTGATTTTCTCGTGTTTGCAGTTCACGAGTCTTAGTTAGGCGTCCGAAAATTATCGAGGCTAGTATTTTAGATACTATATTAGTTAAACTATTCCCTCTATGGTTGTCACGGGATGATTTTGACCTTTTCTTAAATATTGGGACGATAAGTGATTGTGACCAGTTAGATGGGATAACGTCTAACTCCCAGATTTTAGCTAAAATATTAGTCAACCTAATCGCTAAAACTAGACCACCATCCTTAAAGACCTCTGGGGCCAATCCATCTGGACCAGCTGCCCTTCCTCGTTTCAGATTAGCAATAGCCTTTTGAACTTCAGCTAGAGTTGGGGGACCTACTTCAATGTTCCATTCACACTGTCTGGGAATAGAGGGTAGTTGTAGAGTAGCTGAAGGCCAGCTAAACTGCTCCTTAAAGTGTTCCGCCCATCGTTCTAAGCGTCTGGACTGGGAGCAGATGAGAGTGTCGTCTTTTTCCGAAATGGTCTGACTTACACTTGATTTATTAATTCCAGTTTCTTTTATTAGTCTGTAGAGTTGTCTTGTGTTCCCTATAGCCGCCGCCTTTTCCATCTCTTTTGCTTTCGTTGCCCACCACTGCTCACGATCATTCCTTAGACTTTTGCTTAATCTAGATTTGATTTCTTTACGCTCTTCATCGTGTTCAGAACCTGATGGGATGAGTTTGCGAGAATCCATCAGTGCAATAGACCTTGACGAAATCCATTGGTTTTTTGTAACCATTTGGTTTAAATCACTGGTAGATGTCACTGCTGTTTCCACAGCTGCTTGTATAACTTTCCAAGCAACATCTGGGTCAGTCTCGTTTTCAGAACTACCTAAGTGTGACCTCAGTTGTTCCTGGAACCTACTTTTGGCTTTCTCATTACTCAATTCGGTTCTAATGAGTCTTTTTTGTGTGGCTCTTTTGCGTCCAGTGAGGCGCAAGCAGATGCGTGCTCGTACTAGGGCATGATCAGAGTCCAAGCAGGTACCCCAGAATGAGCGACAATCTTCTATTGACCCTCTCCAACGATGACTGATGGCAATATGGTCTATTTGAGTCCATCGTTGGTTTGGTGCAGGGGGTCGCCATGTTAGACGATGTCTCTCCTTATGCTTAAAATTTGTTTGCTAAAAATAAACGATTGTCTGAGCACAGTTGCAGCAGACGATCACCATTATCTGTTCTCTGTGCAGGAATGCTAAAATTCCCACCTAAATGTCTTTCTGTTTCGTTTAAGCTATCTACCTGGGCATTAAAGTCACCTGCTACAAGTACTATGTCTGAACGTTTAGCTTTCTGAAGAAGTCCAGAGATTTTTCTGTAAAATTCATCTTTCACTTCATCCGAGCTGCCGTCAGTGGGAGCGTAGGCAGAAACGACGAAAATGCAACGACGTATGTCCCTATCCTTCCGAGATCTTACGGAGCCGTTTAGCCGAACAGCGCATAGACGACTGTTAACGGGGATCCACTCTAATAGCTTTTGTTCCGCCCTCATGCTTAGTGCTATGCCTACACCTGCCAGTCCACGAGAACTATCTATCGGGTCGCCAGATACACGGAGGGTGTATCTCGTCGGTTCTCCGTTTTGCCGAGATGAGGTCAAGTGAATGACCACATTAGGATCCTGTATGCGTGTTTCGGAGACACAGCATACATCAATGGTACGAGATTCTAAGGTTTTAGCCAAGGAAGCCTGCTGACCGATTTGGCATAGTGTGCGTACGTTGAAGGCTTCAATGTATAGTTTGGAGCGAGGTTTCAGTAGACCTGGGACAGTGTTTTGAGCACTAGAATCGTTGGCTGTGGTGACACTTGAGGAGGAAGCCGAAAGAGGAAGTTTAGTGTATAAAGTCGATGTAGGAGGAATAATAGGAATTGAAGAGGTAGGTTGACTATGAATACAGTGGTCTTGAGTGCTGTTAGAGCTATGAGGGCGGTTATCACTTCCCGGTCGCCCACACCGTGGAAGGGTTCTTCTGGAGGTACCTGAAAAGGAAATTGGATTAGAGTTGGTCATAGTGACCTGAGAGCGTGACCGCAGTGCCCAAGGGACAGCTGCTTGAGGTCGGTCACACACGACCTTTTTATGAGTAATTTTTGTGTTAGCTCCGTACTTGTTGAGTCCTTACCGACGGAGACGGATATCCGTGGGATAAGGCGAGGTGTGCATTTTTGGGGTCGACCTTTTCTAACCCCATCCCTCCTTGTGGGAAGGCAGCATCGCTGTCATGCTGGTTGTCTGAAGGAAACACCTTACTGCTGTCACACCTCTGTACAGTCAGCAGTACGACTTCGCCTTCGGACCTTGGTTTTGTTGCTTTTAGTCTTACCGCTCTTCAACCGACCTGTCTGGCATGGTAGGACCTTGAGGAACGGTTGTTCCAGCCAGTATAGCTCAGTTGCTTCATCACGATAGGCAAGCCCGACCACTACGTCAAGGTAGCAACAACGGTCAGGAGTCTAAACACAGGGAGAGCAGCAGACCCTGATGGATTAACAACAGATCTCTAGGTCTGGAGGTCTAGTTCTATAAACTAAGCTAACAGAAGACACTAGCTAGGATTTGGGAGCTAGACGAAATATCACTTAACATAACTCCAAAGTTAGCCATAACCTGACAAACGAGACACGATAGATTCTACATATTTCTTGAACAGTAATTTCATTAAAGCAGTGATAAGGAGCAAAATTATCACCAAATAATGTTACCTTAAGATTGAAGCCCATATCCACTTATACAACTTATGATATTACTGTTAAATGGAGAAAAAGTTGAAGAAAATCTTGAGTGTTCAGAATAATACACGATGGCAAAAATTAAATCCAGTGATTGTGAGGTTATGAAAATTATGAGTTACACAGACAAAGCATTTTGTATATCAAAAATTCTTAAGGAAGTTGGATGTATTGCTTTTGCGCGCAGAGTTCGGATCTAGATTTGTGAATCACCAACGCCTCAGCAGTGCATAAGTTTTTCATCCGTCCTCCCTTTAATCCAGTTCCTTTGATTGTGTAGATTATTTCGAAGGAACACTCCTTTGGAGCGACGTATCCAGAAATAACTAGGTGCTCCTGTGTTGGACTGGTGACTGAGTTGCCTTCTGTTTGTAAAAGCCACGCCGGGTAATATTCTAAGATACGTTTGGAAAGTGATCGCTTTGTGGGGATCATTTAATCTGCGCCACAAGAGCAGGTACATTTGTAGATGTACATCAATGTGGCCCAAAGCGGAAGTCTATCCTTAGGACATCCGTGAATGGTAGGCCGGTTTGAGAAGACAATACGGAGCTCAGCTTGAATAAATGATTTTGTCGAAAAGAAATTTTTAGCTCAATTTTCTTTGTCCTTACAAACCTTTTGGTAATAAAATGTCTCAGTCATCATCGAAATTCCATTGAAATAATCAAGATTTTTAGTGACGGCGAAGTTATAGTCTCAAAGCGGATGATATTGTCTTACTGTGCGAGAATGCCCAAGCCATGCAATCCGCACTTAATCAGTTGGCAATCAATGTCCGTAGGTATGGTATGTGCTTTGCACCTTCGAAGTGCAAAGTACTTCTACAAGACTGGCAGGATTCCAATTCTATACTCACTCTGGATGGTGAGCAGATAGAAGTGGTCGAGAAGTTCTTGTATCTAGGTAGCTGCATAAGTGCTGGTGGTGGCGTGAGTGATGAGATCAATGCACGTATAGTGAAGGCCAGAGCGACTTATGCCAATCTGGGTCATCTTTGGCGCCTTCGTGATGTCAGTCTGGCTGTAAAAGGTCGGATCTACAACGCGTCGGTGAGAGCAGTTTTGCTCTATGCTTGAAAAGCCTGGCCTCTCCGAGCTGAGGATGTTAGACGACTCTCTGTGTTCGGTTGTCGTTGTCTCCGAAGGATTGCTGACATCCAGTGGCAACACCATGTTAGTAATGCAGAGGTTCGGCATCGCGTGTTCGGGCACAGAGACGATAATGCAATTGGTGTCACCATCTTGAAACACCGACTTCGGTGGCTTGGACATGTTCTACGAATGTCCTCCCAGAGAATTCCACGTCGTGCATTATTTGCCGACTCTGGGACTGGTTGGAGAAAGCGGAGAGGCGAACAGTATATGACATGATGTCGTGGTATGAAAGAAAGCTGCAAAGGGCTAGCTTCTGTTGGTCCTTCACGACTCCCTGGCTGGTGTCCGAGAGATGGTGTAACACAGTGGCTAGAGACGTTATCAAATATGGCTCAGAATAGAAGCCAGTGGCGATCCTGCTGTAACCTTCTTTTACTTTCTTCATAAAAAGTAGTTGCTTCTTCCTTAACTGAAAGATTTCTTCTGATCGTACCTTTCCGTTTTCCCGATTATTGTTCTCTCTCTCTCTTTTTTTTTATAATTCACTACGTTCCTTACCTTTTTTCCCCTTCTCTTTAAGGTCTCGTTGTTTTGTGTGGCACATATATATTTGGTGCCCCCTTGTACCAATATTTATGTGTTCAAATAAATAATAAAATAATAAATATAGTCTCAAAAGACTACTATCTCAAATCTTGTTCAGACGAAATTAGAAGATGAAACGCTACATAACTGACAAATGATCGCACCACGTCAGGGGAATCAATACTGTATGACACAAACCAGAACAGTATAAAATAAGTAATATAATAGGGAAATCTGGCAAGTAAATATGCCTTTCACACGTTCGCCTATTCAGGAAATAGTTCAAGTAACTAAATTATCAATCAACGACAAACTGTTTAATTAGTACGTATTATGGTGTTAGTTAAAAGTGAACTAACATATTACCTTCGCATTTCTTATTCAACAGAGCATAGCGCTGTTGCATTCGAGTCATTTCAACACCATTTGTAGAGCTATATAAATTCCGGTAAATAAAGTTTCTGCTACATTTGGGAAGAACGATGAACCAATAGTAACCATTATTTCGACCGAATTTCCTCGAAACTGATATTAAAGAAAATGTTTCACCACAAAAGAGTTTTACATATGACAAGCTTACCACTTAAACACTGATTGACCCACATGCACAAGACGCACCTAAAATTTAAGAGCTTTATTAGGAGCAATACATAAAGTAAGATCTATTACGCAAAATATTATACTAATAATAGCTTTTCTACATGTCGAACTACAACCGCTTTGCTTGAAATGCCAATAGGCTTGATTTCGGTGACGTGAGGAGATTTTAAGTTCAATAGACAATTCCATAACACAAATGAAGTTCAACTGATATAAGAATCAAAACTAAAGTTAAATGTTTCATTATAATTCTTAGAATTCTATATGTATACACTGCATAGCCAACTTTCTCACTTACTACAAGCTCAAATCACCAAACCAACTAGCTTCCAAACAAAATATATTCAGTAGAACATGGTCAAACTTAATTTTGAGAGATATATGCTGTTAGAAAATACAGTATCGCGTATCGTGAGTTATATCATCTTTTGGCATTTCATGTATGGAATTTTGTGAATCAAATTTTTTCCTAAATTACTGTCACGGTTCTTAAATATTTATAAGGTATTGAACTAACAAAACCTAGCTCTTATTCCCGATAAGCTGAAGAGCGGGAAGTAGATAAGGAAAGCCACAATACTACTAAGTGTTCATTCTTGTTATTCTCTGATTATGGATGATCAAGTGTCAAAGAATACTGTGCTGTTGATCAGACTGTCTCAGTAAGTCTAGTGGATGAAGTAGTTTAGGGATCTGTCTAGTCAGAAGCATACATAGAAACAGATTGGATGGCGCCGATCATGGAGGCTGGGAACAATACTAATTATACGAAACACAGATAGAAAGCATGCACTTCCTGAACAATCTGTTAGTGAAAACACCCGTCCTAACCGTTTCAGTAACCACAAACGTCATACTAATAACATTGAAGCGATGTGGTCAAGATTGAAGGAGTTTTTAAGACCATATCACGGCTCCAAAGGTCGACTATTATAGAGGAATTTGGATAAGTTGTTATACCGTATGCAATATGATTTCGAAACATCTGAACCCTTATCAAATCTTAACAAGTTTTTATATCATATAAAAGAAGTATGTCCACTGTAATTCCTTAGTTTCTTCTAATATATTTTTACTTGATACTGACTGTTTTCTGATTGTCTAATTGCTCAAGGTCATTTAAAATTCGTTCAAAGGTCGTCCTTAAACTAGAGTCTCGCCAAAACCTCGAATATCCGCAACGTCCTTGAAGTTGAAACGGCGTAGAGGCTTGTGGGGATGGGTCTGTCAAACTTATTTTGTAAATAGTTTTTAATATTATTTGTATTTATTTTGTCAATCTCTCACTGTATGTACATTTATTATTAAATCATTGTACCTGTTATTTTAGTAAATGACCTTGAACACTTTTTCCGTTGCGTTACTAACATAGCGTGACATACTTGTGGTTGTTCGCAAATACACTACTACACACACACTCTTCGTTCCATTCTCACATGTTATCGAGCCAATTGCATTCTAAATCGAATATTATCACCATTTTAGACCGTTCTATCATTATTATTACATCCTACGACAAGGAAGCTACTGGAGTCATATTCACCTCATGAAAGTTGTTATTCATCTGTAATTGTGGATTTTTTGGTACCCAAACTCAACGGAATACGCAACAACTAGCTGATTTATGTAATGTCTTTGAACTTTTATTTGGTGTTATTAATTTATAAGTTGTTACATTAACTTTTGGACAAACGGTCTAGAGAACTAGGATAACGGGCCGGCCAGACAGTAATGGCGATGTCTGTTACTGGCCAACACGCTAGCCGCCTCTTCCACATCAGGGATCACATTTCTGGCTCAGACTTCTTAGTCGATACATGAGCAGGAATTAGCATCATCCCACTGCACCTCTCGCGGCGAAAACACACGACAAGTACCAAGTTGTCACTCATCGCGGCTAACAATTCGGTCATCAAAATATATGGAGAACAATCTCTCATATTAGACCTCGGACTCCGGAGACGATTCACATAGGTTTTTATCGTCGCTCACGTCAAACAACCCATCCTCGGGGTCGATTTTCTTAGCTATTACAATTTATTGGTAGACATGATCAAAAAAAGGCTGCTAGACGAAAATACACGTTTGCAGGTGAACGGTACGCTTACCACTGACTATGAAATTCATGGTGTACGAATAATGAGACCTGCGAACAAGATTTTCAACGACATCCTGACTAGATACGAGTACATAACGAAAGTGGACTATCAAAAGTAATGCAGCCCACATCAAGTGCAACACCACATTAACACTACAGGTCCACCCATTTGCGCCAGGGCGAGACGACTCCCCCAAAACAAGTTGCAGTTCGCTAAGAGAGAATTCGAACACATGATGCAACTTGGGATAATCAGACAATCTAACAGTCCTTGGGCCTCGCCGTTGCACATGATTCCAAAAAAAAGATCAAGACTGGCGCCCATGTGAATATTACAGACGTTTAAACAATCAAACTATTCCGGACAGTTATCCCATTCCTCACCAACACGTCTTTTCTCTAAACCTATATGGAAAACAGATATTTTCGAAGCTAGACTTAGTAAAAGCCTATCATCAAATCCCAAAGGCACCCGAAGACATTGAGAAATCAGCTAAAATCACCTCTTTTGGTCTGTTTGAATTTTTAAGAATGCCATTCGGGCTAAAACAACGCCGCCCAGACGTTCCAGAGGTTCATGGATGAAGTAACACGAGAATTAGACTTCGTATTTGCCTATACTGATGATGTTTTGATCGCCAGTTCATCACTTGAAGAGCACATCCAGCACTTGCAGACTCTCTTCGAACGTTTCAAAAAACATGGTGTCGTCATTAACCCTTCTAAATGTATATTTGGTGTTCCAGCCTTGGACATTTTAGGACATTACATCAACTCTCAAGGCATTAAACCACTTCCAGAGAAAGTCGAAGCCATCACGAGCTACCCAAAACCAAATTCAGTAAAATCACTACGACGTTTTCTTGGAACATGTAACTTTTATCGACGATTTCTACCGAATTGCGCCGAGGTACTACAGCCGTTAACAGATTTACTAAAAAGCGATAAATCAGGTACCAAGAAAGAAAAGAACCAAATATTCAACTTACCTCCCGATGCCAAGGTAGCATTTGAAAAAGCTAAATTTATGATTGCCAATACCACCATGCTACAACACTTAAATAACGACCCCACAACACTCTTAATCCTGTGCACGGATGCTTCACAGGAAGCCGTCTGGGCACTACTGCAACAGCGGGTAAACAACACGATTACCCCCATTGCCTTTTTCTCGAAGAGATTATCGTCAGCAAAAGAACGTTTTGGCACTTTTGGACGCAAATTCTTAGCTATGTATCTAGCTGTAAAACATTTCAACTTCTTGCTACAGGGTCGTGATTTCATCATTATGACAGATCACAAACCCCTTTGCCATTCTTTCAGCACATTATATGACAAACACTCCCCACGAGAAGCAAGACAACTTGATTATATCTCTCAATTTACTACAGACATCCGTTTTATCAAAGGTCACACGAACATTGTCTCAGACGCACTATCTAGGAGGGATATCAATACGATGGTACGCAATCACGACATCAGCCATGAAACCTTGGCTAAATTACAAGTAGACGACGCAGAATTGAAAGTCTGCAAAGAAAAGTCTATCTTGAATCTCAGACTTGTACCAATTCCTCTTTCAGATACTTTCATCATATGTGACACTTCAACGGGCAACAATCGTCCGTTTTTCCTACATGCTTGCCAACGAGAAATATTCCGACACTTGCACGATCTTTCACACCCAGGCATCAGAGCTACAACAAAGCTCATTACGGAACGTTTTGTGTGGCCGAAAATCAATTCGAATGTTAAACTTTGGACACGTAGCTGCCTCCAGTGCCAACGCAGTAAGACACAGAAACACACCTCAAGTCCAATTGGGAATTCCCCTATCCCTGACAAACGCTTTCAGCACGTGCATTTAGATTTAGCGGGGCCCCTGCCACCATCAAACCCTTCCAAACATATACTCACAGCAATAGATAGGTTCACAAGATGGGCCATAGCACGCCCCATTAAAGACACTTCGGCAGAGACAGTGGCTTAAGTTTTCCTCGACCGCTGGATTTAAAACTATGGCGTACCATCAACAATCACAACAGATCGCGGTCCCCGATTCCAATCCGTCTTATTTCACGAGTTCACTAAACTTCTTGGGGTAAATCATCATCACAACAACCGAGTCCATCTCGATAAACATTTAAAAACGTGCAAATTCGTTTTTGTGCCAGTAGATGCTGTAAAAATGCCACTGACACCACAATATGAAGGCCCCTATAAAGTGATAAAACACACCCACAAATATTTCATTAACAATAAAAATGGGGACAATGAGACAATTTCCATAGATCGAATAGAACCAGCTTTCTACGAAATCCCTCAAGACACAGAAGACAATACTGAGAACAAACCACAACTCCCATCTATTGCTAAGAGACAAGAGGAGGATAAGAACTTAGCACTACATCCTCTTGTTTAACACGTTCTGGGAGACTTATAAAAAAACCAAAGCGTTATGTACATTTTGCCGTATAAAAAACTAAGATCAAAGGAAACAATCACCGAGGACCTAAACTATCAATCGCAAACAAAAATTTTTCTTTTCAGAGTGTACATAATTAATCACATTTCTCCACAATTACTCATTTTGTCACATTTTTTATATGTATAAAAAATTTTTTGTTACAATAATAAACGGGTAATTACGTTGTAGTGACCTACTTTTGTCAACAGAATGCGATTGGTTCGTGAAAACAATTATTATTATAACCAATTGTACCAGTTACTGTCTTACTGTGCTCGTTTGTTTAACTATGCTAATGACAGCCGTTACACTTACTCTCCCGTTGACTTTGAACTTGTACGAATCCGGTTACGTTTAGTAACCACGCTTGTACTCCTTTGGCACGATCTCGGTATTCTTTCGATACCACGAGATCGCCAACAAATACATCTCGACTACAGCCATCATCTGTCTTCTGATATTGGCCTACGGGGATCTTACTGGTTAATTGGCACGTAGTCTTGTAGCGGTGTTCATAGTCAAGCTCAGCTCGACGCCACGCTACAACGTACTCATGGTACACAAAAATAAACAGTCCATTTTTTGAGTGGGTTATTAACATATCGTATTCTTACATTTTTTGTTATTACAACCAGTTTTACCTCCGGAAACTCTGGGGAGGGAGCTATGTGGAGATAGGTCTGTCAAACTTATTTTGTAAATAGTTTTTAATATTATTTGTATTTATTTTGTCAATCTCTCACTGTATGTACATTTATTATTAAATCATTGTACCTGTTATTTTAGTAAATGACCTTGAACACTTTTTCCGTTGTGATACTAACATAGCGTGACATACTTGTGGTTGTTCGCAAATACACTACTACACACACACTCCTTGTTCCATTGTTACGGGAGAACTGAAGACATTTGGCTGATTAAAACCTTTATATTAAATATCATTAATTTCACTGTTTTTTGGATGTATCTGTTTTACTTTACTTCTGAACTTGTTTGTTTATATCATTATTTCGGACATTTTGGTTTCTTTTTTCTTTGGTTCGGTAATTGGAAGTTTTTTGCTCCGGGAACCTATAAAGTTGAAGGTTTGTTTTGCAGTTGTTATAATTATTGTTGTTAGAACGACATTTGGGTCGACTATTTGTGAATCGCGAAACTAATTTGGATTTTTGGTTCTGTTGTTAATTTGGGTTCGTAAATTACAAATAGATCGACATACCGTACTTCAATAACGGGAAGGAGTAAAAACTTGGACGTAATATCCATTCTCACTTGTTATCGAGCCAATTGCATTCTAAATCGAATATTATCACCACTTTAGACCGTTCTATCATTATTATTACATCCTACGACAAGGAAGCTACTGGAGTCATATTCACCTCATGAAAGTTGTTATTCATCTGTAATTGTGGATTTTTTGGTACCCAAACTCAACGGAATACGCAACAACTAGCTGATTTATGTAATGTCTTTGAACTTTTATTTGGTGTTATTAATTTATAAGTTGTTACATTAACTTTTGGACAAACGGTC